CCCACTCCTTCCAAGCATGGCTTCATGCGTAATAGTTGTGACGACTTAAGAATGGTTTTAGATGAAGAGAGAATGAGGGACAAAGAGACCATAATTGAGTTGAAGAAACAAGTAAAAGCTCAAGGTGATCAGTTGCAAACTCAAGGTATTCAGTTGCAAGCTCAAGATGTTGTAATAAACTCTTTAAAAGAGCAAGTAGCATTTTTGATGAGACAGAGACAGTGTTCTACTGGTTTGCAGGTATAACTACATTTAACATATTTATCTAAATGATGTATTTATCATATGTAATCCTTTTCTAAATTTATGAATACTCATGAAAACTTTATTGTATAAATTAGGCAACAGATGGATCTAGTGGCATTCCAGACTAGGCTTCTCTACAAACACATCAGAGATCCTCTTTTGGGAGTCATGAAATGCAACTTTTAATTGGGGTAAGTCATCATTACAATACACATACATTGACATAAATTTAGAACCAATGTTAATGACTTCTCCACCAAAAAATTGTTAGTTGGTTTGGACAAAATTGGGATTTGATAGATTGACTTTCTACTTTGTTTCTTTTACTAGCATCCGTAAAAATACCAAACAAACCAGTGAAATAGAGAATTGGCCAATCGAACAAATTTTAATATCAGCAATGGATCAAATTGTAATATACAATTAAAAAATAGACCCTTGAATGCTACTATTGGTTGCTTGATTTAGTGGTTGTTACTAAAATTTCTTCTACTCCTTGAGCTATAGAGCTTGAAAAGTGTGAATGAGTGTATGTGACTTTGCACAGCAATAAAGAGAGAAAATAGATCAAATTCAATACATTCTTTTGCTCTTTCTACATATGTCCTTTTTTTTCTCAAGTTGTATGGGGTATTAAATATGGAAAGGCAGAGAAGAGATGGGGATGAGACTATTGGTTTGAGTTAGGGCATATGGGTTGGGAGTAGTACATGTGGGATGGTGGGGTCAACAAGAAGGCAGTTAGATAGGCAATGTGTCTTGAGTCCCACACACACTACCCTAGAAGAATCATGGACTGTGAGTGTGTGCATGTGTTATATGATATTATCAAGTTGGGTAAATAGATGAGGAGCAGCCAGGCAGCAGCAATCCACAACCCAGATTTCTCATTCAAGATAGACTTTACAATCTTTTCTCATATGCTTGGCTGTGAATGTGCTACCACACACACACACACACACACACTCTCTCTCTCTCTCTCTCATCCACTCAAGGAAAAGAGTAATGCTTGACACCCTCATTTGACATACATCATTGTCACATATAGATACTCATAACTTCTACATACTAACCATTTAAATTTGAAGCAAGGGTATTTTTTTTTATTTTTGACACACATCATTGTCACATATAGATACTCATAACTGCTACGTACTAACCATTTAAATTTGAAGTAAGGGTAGTAATGGTATTTTTTTATAAGACTTGTCGAAAATTATTTGTAGTCTAAATTTTTTTTTATAGATTTTGAAATTGAAAATGATACTTATGCTCATTCAATCATTTTTATTGCAGGAAATAAGACAATATGAAAGCATCAAACAATGGACGTCATTGCTCGATTTGAACATTTTTTTATGGTGGTCTTTATAAAATGGTGTCATAAGTAATGCTTTTGAGTACTATTGTCATGTGACAAGTTTATATGTACCTTTTGGATTATGGTGTGGGCTGTTAGTTTGCTAGAAATATTGGATCTATTTTGTATTACAGGCTTATGTAACGAACCTTTTAATTAAGGTGTTTTGGATATTCTGGGATTATGAAAATGCAGACTCTTTTACCTTTTACAATTATTGAGTATTGAGCCATTAGAATAAAATAGTGTTTTTATAGATATATAATGTGAGCAGCGATAAGTGAGAGACAACCATTAATGGTTAGCAAATCATTAAAAATTTCAAGTTATATATTATTGGTAATTGAATAGTAAACATAGCCTATAACCGCGGTTAATAACCGTCGTTGCAAATAAAATTAAAAAAGAATTCTATGGCTATAGGGACTGTGTAAAACTGATGGAATAGAGTCAAAATATAGCAGCAGTTCACAAAATGTCACAAAAGTGAAGGATATACCAGCAGTCGACTTGTCGCTATAAAGGTAGCAAGCAATGGGTAAATTTAAGATATAGCGACATTATAATTGTCACTACATTAACTGTCGCAATAAAAAATAACTGTACCAGCGTTTGAGGAAAACGTCACTATAAGGATATACCGACGAGGCTATTGCGGCGGTTTAGCTGCCGCTATTTCAACCGCGGGTAAAGGTTTTCTAGTTTTTAGTGACGCTTTTTCCTGCTTTTAGAGACAGTTTTGGCTACTGCTAAAAGTGAATTTTTGTTAGTGTCTAATGTTAGGCGACCTCTGAGTGAGAAGGAAAAAATTAATTGGTTATTTGTGATGCTATCATTTTTAATCATGGTAATATTTGTAATCTTTTCGTTTTGAGTCAAAACATTGATCATTGTAGCTTGTAATTATAAAAATACAACTGTCATGTCATTTTAAATGAGTTATATATATAAAAATTATATTTATTTAGATATTGTTTGGAACAAATTCCATCCAAGCTATGGAAGCAAATAAAATAAAAATAGAATGGTCACAAGAAAAATAGAAAACACAAGACTTTACGTGATTCGGCTCAAATGTCTACATCCACAGTGAGTGAGAAGCAATCCACTAATAATAGCACAATTATAATGGTGAAACAAATACAACTCCTTGATATTTTCTCACACCCCACAATGTTAGCAGATATATGTGACCTTAATTTTATAATTTTATATTGTAGGCTGTGAAATTTGGAGGCATAGAACAACCTATTTTTACAAGGAAATTCATTAGGAAACCAATGAACTAATGAAGGTCAGTTTAAGGCCAAACAAACCACTTGTCAGTTTAAGGCTCCTCCCCAATTATGATTTCTGGATCCACCACTTTGCATAAAGACTAGTTGTGATGTGATCCTTCGCAGATGAGCACTCTAATAACCAACTAACCTATATTTGTTTAGTTTATAATCATTAGTAATGTCTACTAACAGAAACATCTTTAATTGTTGGAAGAATAGTAAACCAATTGTAACCTTGAATAGAAAGTACTCTGCAGCGACATGCCAAAATCCTATTACATTCACTTTAATCAAGTTCTGATTTTATATTTTAGTATATGGTTTATTCAAAGGAAATATGGAAAATGTTATCAAACCCACCACAAATCAATCTGGCTTGACAGTATGACAACTTTAATTAAGTTAAGGTCCCAGAGCACTGTATTTATTGTATTCTCCATCTACATTTCACGAGTAAGGAAGTTCAAAAGCAGCAATGAAGCTCTCAGAATTTGTTCGATGCCAAGTTAAAGTTCAAAGCTGTGCAGACAGAGTTGTTCAGATTGAATTATTGGTTCAAGTTGACCAAAGAGATGTTGTTCCTGGTGACATTGTAATTTTTGAACCTAGCGACCTTGTTCCTGGTGACGTAAGGCTACTAACTTCAACTTGGTTATAAGGTATGCTACCCGGAACACTATCCGCTTTATAGATGAGCACTAGTGTGTTCTTTCATGTCATTCATTGTTTATCCTTAATGGCCAACCTAGATCACATGATCACATCCTGCTTCTTGAACAGTCAGTCATCCTTAACAGGGAAGTTTGGAACAATTGAGAAAACAACTGATATAAGAGAAGATCAGAGCACACCTTTGCTAGATTTGAAGAATATATGCTTAATGGTAAATTCAAATATTTTGAGCAGTGTCTATTTTGTGGTGTAAGCTATACTTTTGGTTCTATTGCCAGTATTTGTGCTATTGCATTCAGCTGATTAATGAACCCATGATTTAATGACTGTATGCATAACTAGAATCATTAAGGTATTTGTTTGAGAATCAAGAGGCTAAACGTTCGTTGTACAACTAGAAGAAAACACATTAATTAGAAAGAGAGAGATTTACATGCTCAAACAATTTAAACTAGAAGGCTCAAATTGGGGATCAAGGACCATCGGAACAAATTAAACAAAGTAAATTCTAAAGTTCTAAATTAGTTTACAATGCATCTCAAATAGATTTCCATCATATCTTATCTTCAATTAGTGCCATTGTAACTTTATCCTAATCGATTCATTTCTTATTTTATCTTTTCTTGTAACAATGTTCATCCAGTTCAATATTTTCATTTTAGAAATGTTTAGGGATAAAATTTTTAAAGAAGCAACATGGTGTTTTGAAGATGATACTAATAATACGTAAAATACAACGGTAGAATGTATTAAAAGAAAATTGAAAGAAGCCCTTGAAGAGTCGAAGAAAAAAAATCCTATATCTAAAGATACTTGTGGTAGAATGATGAGGTGCTAGCCGTAGTAAAAACAAGGAATACTTCAAAAATTGAGAAAAAGATAACAATGAGGAAAATTTTACGAGATATAAGTCAACTAACAAGGAGGTAAAATTTATAAACCTGTAAATGGAGAAAAAGAAAAATAAGAGACTTTAAGTAGCTTAAGAGTACAAAGAGAAGAAAAGGAACACTACAAGAATTTACACATTTTGCGACCACTTTTGCCGACCAAAAAAATTTTAGTCGCAAAAAAATCACATTTGGCGACCAAATTTTAATTAGTCGCGAATGATCATTATTTTTGGCGACCAAATATTATTGGTCGCAGAAAATTATATTTTGGCGACCAAAAAATGAGTTGGTCGCAGAAAGTGGTATACATTTGCCGACCAACTACAAACTTGGTCGCGGAAGGTCACATATTTTTTGGCGACCAAATATTTGGTCGCCAAAAACTTATTTTCAGTAACCAAAAAAAATTAGTTGCCAAATTAATATTTTTAGCGACTAATATTTTAGTCACCGTTGATTGAGATTTGGCAACAAAAAAAATTAGTCGTTATATATTTGAGATTTTGCGACAAAAACCGAATTTAGTCGTTAAAGGCGAAATTATTTTAGAGGGAAATCTCGCGCCCACCCCTGTTCTCTGTTTACAATTACACACAACATTTTGTTCAAATTCTCCTCCACTGCCAAACCTCACCCCATCGCCACAGATCGCCACATCTACATCGTCGATGATCCTCCTCCTTCTCCTCCGCCTGTGCCTCCGCTGAATCCGAGAAGAAAGTCGAGATCTGAATCTGATTTGAGTCCTAGGCCGAGATCTGACCGTCGTGAGCGATCCACAGCGACACAATGGCTTCCAAATCCTACAACAAGATCATCGATATCTACGACGACCTCATCCTTCAGGTACATACATTACCCCTTCCTTCTATTCCATGATTGATCTCTCTTCTTATCAAACCCTAATCCTACGACGGTTCTCCTGCCTCTTATCTCTCTCTCTCTCTCTCTCTCTCTCGCTGTGCTTGATCTTTACGCCGTCTCAGAGCTTCAAGCAGTTCGATTTCGTCTAAAGGTTCGATCAATTTCAATCTCTCTTTTCTCTATTTCCATCTGTGTGTTGTTTGTATTGGTTTAGCTTTAATTAACCTTCTTTCAAATTTACAGGTTGGACTTGTTGTGTATGATTCACAAGTTCCGATTGGTGCCACTCCTGAATATATGGCTGGTTATTACATGGTATTATCACTAGCTAGCATGTTTTCTTGTTCTTCCTTTCCCCTTATTCCACTTCCACCCCCCCCCCCCCCCCACCCCCTCCCAAAAACATGAGAGAAAAGAAAAAAAAAAAAAATATATATATATATATATATTGTTTTGGGTTTTATGTGGTTTGCTTAGTGCTCATAGTAAGTTTGCTTACAGTTGCAAAGTGCAAGCTCTTTTTTGCCTGTGATGGCCCTTGCTCCTCAAGAGAAAGAAAGGACTGTTGATATGGCGTAAGTAACTGAACTCTTTCACACAGAAATATCTGCTTGCTATCTATCTGAATTTTTTTGCATTATCTTGTGTTTTTAGTTTCTTATTTTTATTTGAGCAAGTTTAATGGCTAAGTTTCTCTTTCTTTATTTTCTTTTGTTTTATTATACTTTAAATGTTGTCTTTTGTTTTCCTCTTTCTCTTCTTCATGTTAATGTTGTTTTTGTTGACAGGTAAGGTAAGTAACCAAAGCATCCTTACATACGTCCAGCCTTGAAAATTGCTGTAGTTAGCTTGTGATTCCATTGCACAATTCTTATATTATGAATTTGTAGCATAATTTAACCTTTGATACAATCTGAGACAAAACAGTGTAAAGAAAGCTAACTTTAGGGACACTAATATCTTGCCTTTTTCATGTTCACTTCTTTGTATGAGACATGGTAGAGTTGATTGATGTATTCAGTCTCACACACTAGTCATGGACATTTATGCAATCAAAGGAATAGGATTATATGTGGTATCCATGTCCACGTCTCATGTGTTATCTTCACTGCTTCTTTCTATCTGCATTCTCCCTCTTAATTGCAATTTATACTTTATTGTAGGGCTGCTCCTGGTGGTAAAACAACCTACGTTGCTGCTCTTATGAAAACAGTGGTGTGTAGTGATTTCCATCTTGACTCTGTTATTTCAATTGCACTTATGCTTTCAGAGGAATATGTGCACTTATGCTTTCAATTTTCTCTATGTACAAGCATATCAGAGGAATATGTGCACACAGGGCACCTACTGATTCTTTTCATGTCTTCATTCTTGTTCCTCCAGAAACACAGGAGAGGAAGGGCTTTGTTACGCTTTAGGAAATTTGTTAGTTCAGGGAATTTGTCAGAGGTAATTCTTTTTTCTAGTTTTTGGTTTAAGCAAACAATTTTTTTAATGCTTTTTTACTTGTAACATGCAATGCTGCTATGCGCTTTCAGGTTATCACAAATAAAGTGTTCGTGCCTCTCTTTTTCAACATGTTATTTAATGTTCAACATGGAAAGGCAGAAAATATAAGGAGTGGATGTTTGGAGGCTCTTGCATCTATTTCTGGTAATATGGAATGGAAGTCGTACTATGCATTTCTCATGAGATGCTTCCGAGAGTTGACCCTGAAATCAGACAAGCAGAAGGTCTTAATGCGGCTTGTCTGCGCAGTTCTGGACCACTTTCATTTTATGGAAACTCATTTTTGTCAAGAATCCAATGATTCTGTTGTTGATGTATCAAAAGCTGGCACCACTGCATTGACTTCATCTGTGTTGCACACATATACGAGTTCTGCTGAGGTTTCTGAGATACAATCATGTCTCCATAAAACAGTGCTTCCTAAGATACAGAAATTGTTGACGTCTGATTCTGATAATGTCAATGTCAATATCAGTCTTGTTGCACTGAAACTGCTAAAGTTGCTTCCTGATAATGTCATGGAATTACATCTTCCAAGTATTGTCCATCGCATTTCAAACTTCCTCAAAAATCGTTTGGAAAGTATACGTGATGAAGCTAGGACTGCTTTGACTGTCTGTTTGAAGGAGCTGGGGTTGGAGTACCTGCAGTTCATTGTCAAAGTCTTGAGAGCCACCTTAAAACGAGGATATGAGTTGCATGTATTGGGATATACTCTTAATTTTAGTGGGAAGTTGGATTATTGTTTGGAAGAACTTCTTTCTGTGGTGGAGAATGATATTTTTGGAGATGTTTATGAGGAAAAGGAAATGGAAAAGATTGCTTCAAAAATGAAAGAGACTAGAAAGCGCAAGTCTTTCGAAACCCTGAAATTAATTGCCCAAAACATCACATTCAAAACGCATGCCTTGAAGTTGCTTTCACCTGTTACAACTTGTCTGCAGAAGCATTTAATCCCAAAAATGAAATCGAAATTGGAAACTATGTTAAACAACATAGCTGCTGGTATTGAGTGCAATCCATCAGTTAATCAGACAGACCTCTTTATCTTTTTATATGGCCTCATAGAAGATGGCATTACCCATGAAACTCGTGCAAAGGCCAATCAGCAATCTGGAGATGAGGCAAGCTGCAAAACTATTACATCAGGCAGGTTAATTGACTCTGGCTCACAATCTTCACATCTTATTACAGTGTTTGCTCTTGGGGTGCTGCACAATTCCATGAAGAATACTAAACTTAACAAAAAGGACGAACAACTGTTATCAATGTTGGATCCTTTTGTAAGATTGCTCACTGACTGCTTGACTGCCAAATACGAAGATATCATTTCTGCAGCGCTCAGGTGCCTTGCTCCACTGGTGAGGCTGCCTCTACCATCTCTTGAATCACAAGCTGACAAGATAAAGACCTCTCTGTTGGTTATAGCTCAAGGCTCTGTAAATGCTGGCAGCCCTGTGATGCAATCATGTCTAAGTTTGCTAACAGTGCTTCTGCGGAGCACTAGGATTACGCTTTCCACAGATCAATTGCATATGGTGATCCAGTTTCCTTTATTTATTGATCTCGAAAGAAATCCCTCGTTTGTTGCTCTTTCACTTTTAAAGGCTATAGTGAACCGCAAACTTGTAGTCCATGAGATATATGATCTTGTGACTCGGGTTGCAGAACTTCTGGTAACAAGTCAAGTGGAGCCAATTCGCAAAAAATGTAGTCAAATTCTATTGCAATTCTTACTTGACTATCATCTTTCAGAGAAACGTTTGCAGCAACATCTTGATTTCTTGCTTTCAAATCTGAGGCAAGGACATAGTAATTATCCACATCTCATTTACCTCTATTATTTTTAATTTCTCTTACAGTGATTTAATTTTCTTGCAGGTATGAACATTCGACGGGAAGAGAAGTTGTGCTTGAAATGCTCCATGCAATTGTAATCAAGTTCCCAAAAGCCATTATAGATGAGCATTCCCAGACCATATTTGTTCATTTGGTGATTTGTTTGGCTAATGATTATGACAACAAAGTTCGCTCCATGACTGGCGCTGTTGTAAAGCTTCTGATTGGGCATGTGAGCCCGCATTCACTTCATTCCATTCTCGAGTATAGTCTCTCTTGGTACTTAGGTGGAAAGTAACATTTATGGAGTGCTGCAGCCCAGGTAAAGTAATCAAAACTGGTCTGCAAGTTGTATATTTTGCAGATTTTTAGCTAGCATGTGTGAGCCTGCATTCACATTAAATTTTGACCATATGCAACATTAAACACATTAAAGTTTGATCATATGCTTTAACAGAAGTGAAAAAATTACATTAATTTTTGAAAAAAGACCGAAGGATATAACATCAAACATGTTTTTGTTTTTTTCTAAGAGAATTCAAAGTGGGAATTGGGTTTTGTTTACTGTTCATTCGCATGTTTTCACTTGATTTGGTGAAGGTGAAAACATCCTTTTTGTGTTGTCATTTTTTGAACCTTGTATTGAAGATGAATTTCAAAAAAATTAAAAACAAAAGCAAGCACCAAACATATTTTTCTGTTGTGTTTTCAAAATTTTTGAAAACAACAACATGAAAACATGGAACACAACTGGAACCAAACGGGCCCTTAATAATTGGATGCTGAATGTGATGGAATCCATATTCACCTCCCTCCCCTTGTTCCCTGTTTCTCTCTTGCACACACATTCTTTGTATAATTATGCAGTAGTATGAACTCTGGAATCTAATTTGACTCATGAATAGCAAGTTGTGTGTTTGCTTTCTTTGCTTTGAAGTTGTACTATATGGGTTTTGTTTATTTGTTTTTTGGCTTTAAAACATTTTTGTGTAGGTCTTGGGATTATTGGTTGAAGTAATGAGGAAAGGCTTTCAAAAACATGTCAATGGTGTGTTGCCAGTGATGAGAAGCATTTTCCAGTCTGCTATCAATGTTCTTACAAATGGACAGCTAGATCTTTCTGTTGAAGCTACAGTTCCCTTTTGGAAAGAGGCATATTACTCACTAGTCTTGTTGGAGAAGATACTGCATCAGTTCCATGATTTGTTCTTAGCAAAGGATCTTGAGGTATAAGCCTATTCATTGTATGTGTCTACGTGCATGATAATTATTTCCTTCATTTCTGTGTATATTTATTCTATATTAAAATGTTTGTAACACATGCAACATAGCATTTCAAACCTTCGTGAGAGTGAGAGCCATCATTTTTTGGGATAAGGCTGTAGGTGGGGTCGTATTGGTAGCCTGAAAACTACTTTAATTAACAAAAGAGAAGGGCTGTCTAGCATGGGGACTAATTGAAGTAATGAGCCTTCCAATATTGGGCTGGCAATTTGAACCAGTTTTGTGGGTCAGTTTGATGAGTGTAACAATTAACAATGACCTGATCACCTTTTCTTGAATCATAAATTATTGCTAAATGCATTTGCAGTACAATTCCGTGGTTAATTATAAAGTATATTTGGGCAAAATCCACTTTTCTCCTCATCCCCTGCTGTGGATTTGCCCATTTGCATTGTACCTCCCAAACATTAAAAAATAACAAAAATTGCCTTATGTGGTTTTGGGCCCTTTTGTAGTTCACATCCTTATTGTTAAGAATTTCGTCTAATTTGATGAAAATTGGGGCTTCAGTGAGGGGCTTTGACTGCAATGGGGGATTTGGCAAACTCTTCAATTGCGATGGATGCTTTGATATCTAGGGCTTCGACAAAGGTTGTGATTGTGGTCGCTGAAGCCTTCAATCTAGGGTTTCAATGAGGCTGGCAACAATCGCAATGACGGGTTCACTCTATCTATGATTAGTTTCATTTAATAAATTCTTTCTTTTAGGAAAAAAAAAATGTCAGAAAGAAAAACAGTTGTGTGGTGCCATGTCCTGCCTTGTCCATCAAGTGTTTGGAATTTGTTTTAAAAATAACAAAAATCAGATACCCTTTTTTGCTTGTCAACAACATATCTGGATGCATCCATGCCCCATTCATCTGGGACACTGATACGTGACCTCATGCAACGTGTCGGTATTTCATAGTAGGTAACTAGTTGCCCCAAAAGTTTACTGGTGAATCTAACATCTCTTTAGCATGGTTTGGGTAGTTGGGCTGTCTTGGATTCTGGGGAAGTATCCTAATCCTACATAAAATCAAAAAGATCATTTGTAAACTAATTGCTAATATTTGGTACCGTTTTCCTTTCATTACTGAGTTTTTGATGGGCTTATTTTTTCTTCATTTTTTTTTTAAAATTCTAATTTTAATTTACAGGATATATGGGAAATGATTTCAGAGCTTCTGTTGCACCCGCATATGTGGTTACGTGATGTATCGAACCGCCTGGTGGCCCTATACTTTGCCTCAGTAACTGAGGCCAACAGAGAAAACCATGAAAAGTCACTAGAAACAGTTTTTCTAATGAGACCAAGTAGACTTTTTCTCATAGCTGCATCTCTCTGCTGCCAATTGAAGGCCCCACTAATTGACAACACTGCCAGCACCATAGTTACACAAAACCTCAGCTTCACAATTTGTGGAATACATTCTTTGTTAGTACCAAAGAAATGGATTGATGGCCAAAGTTTTGGGTATACCCTTGAACACGATGAGGAAGGTTGTTTCCTCAAAGCTTTTCAAAAGCTTGACTCACGAAAAGGAAACTAGTAGTTATATTTTTGGATGGGTGTGTATAGAAAATATTTAGTAGACTAGTAGTTATATTTTTCGGTTGATGTACATGGATAAAAATTTTAAACATAATAACAAGTATTTGTTATGTCTTAAATTTTTATGTTAGATGAAATATGTAGTTTGGAATTATTTGTGGATGAAAACTTATAATAGTTGCTGATTTTAATTAAACAGGTTCAGAAATGGTTGATCTATGTATTTTGTTGAATGTTCATGATTCAATTTATTTGTTGGTTTGAATGATTTTTGCAAATTACAGATTATATTGAATAAATTGGATGGATTATTATAAATTACAGGTTTATTTTGTTGGATGTTGGCGACCAAATGTGACAATTGGCAACCAAACTAATTTTGGTCGCAGAATGTCACAATTGGCGACCAAAATTTTTAGTCGCGAAATGTGACAATTGGCGACCAAACTAATTTTGGTCGCAGAATGTCACAATTGGCGACCAAAATTTTTGGTCTTGAAATGTCACAATTGGCGACCAAACTAATTTTGGTCGTGGAATGTGACAATTGGCGACTAAAAAATTTGGTCGGCAAAAGGCAACTTTTCGCGACCAAAATGTTTTAGTGACAAAATGGATTAGTCGCAGTAAATAAATATTTAGCGACCAAAAATTTAGTCGGCAAATGTAACTTTTCCCGACCAACGAAAATTTTGGTCGCGAATTACTTTTGCCGACCCTCAATTGGCGACCAAACTAGTGACAAAAAAAATTGGTCGCGGATAACTTTTGTCGACCAAAAATAGACTTTTAGTGACCAATTTTTTTGTTGCCAAAAGTGTTAATTCTTGTAGTGGAATCTTCATATGGATTTTATAGATGTACAAAAATATTATAATATAATGGTTAAAAATATAATATAGAGGGTATTAGAGAAAAATGGAGTGAGAAAAAAGTATAGTAAATGACATGTATGATGGGACTATGGCTACAATTAGATTCACTGCATGAGAAACTAATTAATTTCCAATCACTGTAAGATTGTAACAAGGGTCACCGTTAAGTCCTTAGCTATGGATGAATTAACTAAACACATTGAATTGTGTATCCCACTCATTCTCATTTAACAAAACACATCCCAACTATATAGATACAAATGCACTGTTTTTTTTTTTTTTTTTTTTTTTTTTACCTCTTCTAACGGTTTCAACCCATCCCATAAATGTAGGCATAATGATAGTTGAATTAATAAGATAAGCTTTTGATTTCTTTAATATCAACAAACCACTGTGCCGTGTATGGAAACCCAAAAAAAAAAAAAAAAAACTCTTATGTCTTTTCATTTCCCAAGCCACCAGCCAAGAAAAGTGTAGGCTTTCCATCTTCCAAGAATAAGCTCTGCGCCAACTAATTTGCATGTCCAATATTCCAATGCCATCAGCCATATGTAATAATGGACCAACACAGATTAATACACAAAAAATAAAATAAATTATTTTTTCTATTTTATCACATAGATAGAAAATCCTATAACAGATATACTTCATAATTGTTTCAAAAACTGTTGGGTAGTAGGTTCATATGTTCTTCTCTTATTTTCTCCTTGAAATAATGTTATATATATAAATTAGTATACTAATTAGTGTATTAATTGATAATATGGTATAATTTAAGAGATTTTTGATATTTTCCTTGTGTGTATTTTGGTATGGTATGTGAACTACCTTTATTTCTTAGTGTCTTTGATCATTGAAAGTGACCCTTGCTTATATTTCAAATGCCAATCTGTTGTTGGAAGGTATGGACATTTTTCCTTTGAGAACTGGAGTTTTCTAATTCTTTACCTTCCTCTCTCTCTGTCTCTATCTTTCCATTTTTCTTATCCTTTGTTTTTGTTTTTGTTTTTGTTTTTCTAACATGTTTTGTAATTATCTAATTTAGGGAAACTTGTTAAAGAGATCACTCCACAATAATGCAGAGAAGTTTGTATTTCAAGTTGAGGTGTCTCGGCTTATGAAGATATCTTCCTTAAGGAATATATTTGGCATGGTAGTGAATATATTTGTGTACGGAGGACATGTTTTGGTATGATTCTCTATTTCGTATGAAATAATATTATTATTTTAAGTTGGAATATACTTAATTTGTATGAAATTTGACATTAAAAGTTATTCATTTTTTGATGGTTGGAAGTGAAATGGATGCAAATTGCGGAATGATTCATAATATATGTATTGTTTTATTTATATATATGATACAGGTTGCATGAAATACATACATGTTGTGGACAAATTAATTAAAAAATAAAATAAAATCATGTTTTTGGCGACTAAACAATTAGCAGGCAAAAATGAAGTAAATATTTTTAGCAACCAAATAGTTAGTAGCTAAAAATAAAAATAAAACGGAAAAAAACTTTTTGGCTACTAAATATTTAGTAGCTAAAATAAAAGCAGACTTTAGGCGACTAAGAATTTAGTAGCTTAAAAAAATAAAAATAAAATAAAATCATGTTTTTGGCGACTAAACAATTAGCAGGCAAAAATGAAGTAAATATTTTTAGCAACCAAATAGTTAGTAGCTAAAAATAAAAATAAAACGGAAAAAAACTTTTTGGCTACTAAATATTTAGTAGCTAAAATAAAAGCAGACTTTAGGTGACTAAGAATTTAGTAGCTAAAAAAAATAAAATGAAAAAAATAAAAAAATAAGATGAAAAAAAAACCCTTTGGCGACTAAAACTTTGGTCGCCGTAGATACTTTAAGTTTTGGCAACCAAAGTTTTGGTAGCGGAAAATAAGATTTTTTTAGTCGCCATTTATAGAACTTTTGGCGACTAAATATTTTTTAGTCGCCAATACCTTCCCCGACAACTTTCCCGCGACAAATCCAGCAACCGAAATATTTAGTCGGGCAAAATTTTCGGAGACTAAAATTGTACTTTTTGGCGACTAAAAATTTAGTCGTCAAAAGTGAAATTTCTTGTAGTGTTTATATGTAAATGGAAAAAGTATGGTGATGCGGCTCTCTTAGAAAAAGTTAAGGCCTTATAATAGTGATAATATAAAGTGATAAAACGCAAATCGTGAAAAATGAAAGGATATATATATATATATATATATATATAAGTAAATAAAAATGTAAAAGAGATGTTAAAGAAAAAAATGGTAAGAAGGGTATTTTAGTCCCTTTAAGAAAAATAAACAATTATTAACATAGTCTATATATTGTAGTGGTTCTACACGCACTAATTAATGTTTACACTAGTATACCAACTAGTGTTATGTCATTATTACTGATCCCACCTATTATACAAATTACAAATACTCAAAACTTCTAAAATTATACCAAATCATTTGTTAGTATACTTGTGGAGAAGTGGTTTGGAAATACTCTTCTGATCCTGGGAAACGTTCGAGATCCTCTTCCAGTCACCTGAAAAGGAATTTACACTCCGGCGGGGGTGCCGGAATCAGCACTCTGACGGACAAGTTAGTAACCGTACTCCAGAATGCTTATATTCTAAGTTAAACACATTAATTTTCACATACCTCTTTAGGACTGAAGATCTTGTATTTATAGTATTCTCTTTGGGCCTTAGGGCCTGGCCCACTCCTAGTCCTTGCCATATACTTCTATACGGCCCTTGTTTTACTGGCAGGAATGTTGGCTCTTTTATTCGACCCCTCAATTGGATGGGGTCAATGCCGAATAGAAGTTATGTTTTGGACCGGATTGGTCCGCTCCTATTGATCCAAAATTATTCGGCTCCCACAATTGCCCCCCAAACATCTCACTAGCACCAGTTAGTCGGCGTGTTTGGCTTCTAGTTTGGAGGTTAGAAATCCGGCAGTTATTCCTCTTCTCGATGCGTGTCAGAACGCGTACATGCTTCTTGGTCATTGTAGCGCTTTCCCACCCCTTAGTACGTTGCCTCCATTTAATGCGATTTGAATTTGTCTCTTCGAATGTATGCTCTGAATACTCGAAGATATCTGGCTCGCCTTCTAGTGGGACTCCTGCACTCCGTGGCTTCTGTAACCCCTTGTTTCTCGATCTTTCCTTCGCCTCTTGTAAGTTTTCTTCTCCTACATTTTTTGATCCCCCCTCTTTATCTGCTTTTAGTTTTTCGTAATCCTTGGGTCGGCAAGAATGGCGAAACATTTGAAGGAGCTCCTTTCTGCGGATTGAATCTCCGGCTTTGGACGCCACTTCTCCATCCCTGACGACGTCCATCTGTCACTTTTGGTAGACAGCACTACTGATATGGTGAGGGAAGATGAGAACATAATCGTCTTTCCTCTCCTATCAATTACTGAAGGCGGCGTTCGTTTTCCTCTTCACCCACTTTTGAGGGCCGTTCTTCGGTACTAGGGTCTTATTCCTTCCCAGCCCAATGTGAACTTCTTCCGCATCATAATGGGCATTGTAAAGATAAATCGGCATCTTAGAATTAATTTAGGTATTCCCGCCATTCAGCACTGTTATGTCCTAGCCAAGTCTACTGGCTGTCTAGGACACTACTTCCTTAGAGCCAAGGATATTGACCACCACTTAGTGACCATGCTTGCTAGCTCTAGCAAGCGTGTTGACGACGTGATGGTCGTTGTCCGTGATAATTGGGAATTCGGCGAAGGGAAAGATCGCCTAGATCCTATGCCAAGGCAAAAAGGCGAACCAGGTGGCCGACCAGATCACTGTTTTTGTTACTTACATATGCATGTATTCGGCACTTTAGCTCACCTAATCGTTTTGTCTATGCAGGCAGCGAATTGAAGAGAGTGTTGGCTTCAGACGACGAAGTTGTGCTTGTAGAAATTAAAACCGCACTACAATTCGTCGGCTGTCCAGACCTTCAAAAACAAGGGAGCGTAGCCTATGTTCTCCTGCGATGCGAGCCAACCTACACGATGTTCTCGACGGCAGACAATATTCCCATCGCGCGAGGCGATAACCAACTGACGGCCCTCATCTTCCCCAGCTTCAAAAACTTGAGGCAGATTGGCCTCGAATTGTCTG